TTCAATTCAGTTTAGTTATAGAATACTAATTGAATAATATATATTTTATCAAAATTACTATTTTAATATTGTTATTATAATGATATATTATATATTTGTTAATATACTAGAGCAAAAGATTAATTAAATGAATATAGTATCAAGAAATTTAACATCTATAATAATAATATTTCTCTCATATAATAACAGTAATATTTGACAAAAAATAATAATTATAAATTTCATTGATTTTTATTTAAGATATTTTAATTAGTTCTTTATTATAAATTAATTTATATTATGTACATATTTAATATAAATTATTTTTATTAAAATTTAATATATATTATATTTTTATATTTTAATTAATTTTTTTTGTATATTAATATTATCTTGTGCTATATTTTATATTTAATTAGTTTTATTATATGATAGCAAAGAAATATTAATAATATTTTAATATGTATTAACATCAAATTTAAATATATAATACTTGATAAATTAGAATAATATTATATATTACTTGTAATATATAAGAATATATTAGATTTTAATTAAACTTTTTTGAAATAGAAATAAATATAAATAGTATATATCTTAGCTTAGAATTATTATTAAGTTATTAAATTATCAATCAATTAAATATTCTTTAATAATATTAAATAAAATTTGGTTGTAACTTATATTAGTTTGATTTTTTAATTAAATTATCTTAAATAAAATAATATTATAATTAAGAAATTGTAACTTAATAAGTAGTAATTATAAGTTATAACTTATTAAAAATTAAACTAAATTTATAATTAATTATAATAATTACTATAATTATAATAATTATTATATTATAATTAATTGTTAATTATAAATAATTATATTAATTACAATTAATCACAATTATCACAATTTAATTACAATTAATTATAATTATTGCAATTAATTATGATTAATATAATTATTTACAATTATTATAATCAATTGCAATTAATTATAATTATAGTAATTATTGTAATTATAATGATTAATTATAATTATTATAATTAATTATAATTATAAAAAATTATTTTTATATTTAATTTAATTTAATTATAATTACAATTTAATTATAATTATAATTAGTTATAATTAATTATAATTATAATTAAATTAAATTAAATATAAAAATAATTTTTTATAATTATAATAAAAATAAATATAATAATTATATATTAATTAACTAATTAAGATTTAAATTGGTATTAAAATTAAATTTTTGAATATATAATTAATTAATATTAAAGTTTTTATATAAGAATTATTATAATTAAATTAATTTTATAATAATAAAAAATAATTGACTTTATATATAATTAGAATAGCTTTATCAGATTAAATCTAAAAAATCTAAAAAAAATATATATTAAAATATATAATATTATCTTTATTTTAATATAAAAATAAAAAAAATTTTTTTATTAATAAAATTGAAAACTTTTATATAAAGAGAAAAATTTATATTTTATTATATTTAATTAATAAATTTTGAAATTATTATATTATTTTTGATTGTTACTATATATTATATTTATAAATAAATTATAAAATTAATTATTAATAAAAATAAAAATTGAATTGAAATTTGATTAAAAATTTGATTAGAAATTTATTTAGAAATTAAAATTAAAATTTGAACTGAAATTTGAATAAAAATTTGAATAAAAATTCGAATTTTTAAAAATAATTGTCCAATAAAATAATATTAAATATTAATTAATAATATAAATTATTCAATAAATTTAATTAAAATTTATATTATAATAATATATTTAATTTTAACTTTATTTTTATTATTATTCAAATATATTTAATATTTATATTATACTTAGAATGCTTGTCTAAACTCTTTCAGAAAAATCTTATTATAATTTTGATAGATTACATACTAATTATTAATTAGAATTTTGACAGGCTATTTACTAATAGTTTATTATAATTTTAACAGAATTTCAGTAGTCACTAAGGAATTTTGATAAGTAATCTTAATTATACTCATATTCTTATCAATTTGCTATTGTTAATTATTTATTATTTTTATTTATATATATCTCTTCTATTATAAAAATAATCATTATTAATTATTTATAAATATTTTTATATATAAAAACTAGAAATAATAATAATATATAATATATTTATATTATATTTATCATAAATTATATAATTATTATTAAAAAAAATTAAATATAAATATAATTGGTTTTGTAATTATAAAAAAGCAATTTATTATAAATTTATAATTAATTAAACTTAATATAATAAAAATAACTTAAATAAATACTTTAATGTTTCATATTTAAATATTATTTGTTATTATATTAATTATATTTGTCAAGTTACTAATATATATATTATATCTTTTAGTAATAATAAATATCTAACTTGATTTAAAGAAAATTATTGGATATATTAATTATTTGTAATTGTTATTTGATTTAATTTCAAAAAATGATAAATTTTATTATATTATTATAATTAATATTTATTAACTAACAATACATATTATAACTAAGTTTAGCTATTTTAGCATAATATTTATTAATATTAATCTCTAAGAACTCACTTATAATAATATTATTAGATCGAAGTTGAATCTGATCAGAATTATATATCACATAATATAATATAAGAATTAAGTTTTATTTTTCAACTTTTTAAACTTCTTTTCTTTTCTTTTTATGCTAAAATACATGTTCTTTTTATTTGTATTATTTTACTAGTTAGTTATTTTGCTACTTCATTATTAGTCTCGTTAATTAGCTTGCTAATTTCTAATAACCAATTACATGTATAAAAAAATTCAACAATGTGAAAATTCTCTAATTTCTTACCAATCACTTTTAACCATTTCACTTTGTTCAGAATAAGCTGAGATCAGTAACTCCGACATTTCATACATAATAATAATGATGACGGGGGTAAGCCGTTCATTAATCAAAGACATAGTGTAATTTAAAGAAACAATAAACCCGCGGGTGGATAAAGAATTTGCATTAAAAATCAGCGGGTCATATTGTTACACTAGCATATGTGAACCAATAATAAGACGACGTGGAAGATCATTAATTTAAAGCATGCTTGTCTATTGTTTCGTCCATAGATTTAACATCATACTGCTGCTGGCTTAACATGACAAAGTTATGTATCTTTGGGTAAATCTGACACCTGTCAAAAGTGAAGAAAAAGGCAGCGCGTTTCCATTTCATTTTCGAATTCATTGTTTTCTCGCATTCGATGCTTTGCTTCTTTCTGACGATAATAACAATCAACAAAAGATCCAATTTCCATATCGGTAACAACGACAAGATTTTGCTATTGTTGAGGGTTGCGCAATTTTTCACCAACAATCGGTGTGTGTGATTGTTTGTTGGTGTAATGCATGAGAATTTTCGTGTTGCGGTTACGCGAATTAATAATTGGGCTGGTTTGAATATATCGTATTGGATTCTCACAGTGATTCTTTGATTCACAACATTTCTTTGATTCACTGCATATGAAAAAATAATTTGTTTCAACTGAAAACCGCGCGAAATTATATTATTATTACAAAAATTGATAAATTCAATGACATATTTTTTCCTAAATTTCCGTATAATGATGATGATGAGGTTATGATGGAGAGAATGACGAGAATGGCTAAAAAAGAAAAATGCAATCTTGAAAGGTATTGTTTGCTGCTGTTGTTATATTGGAAGTAACGATTATAGCATGTATATGTATAATCCTTGTTTAAGAAAGGACGGTATCGATAAAAGACACCGTCTAGAATCTGTGAAACTCCATACCAAAAGAGAGTTTGAGCATCAAAAAAAATGCCTAATGTCTTGACCTGCCAAATAGAAAATCAATCATAGGACTTTTGAAATCGACACGCAGCAGAAGTCATTCTGTTTAATGTGACACATCTTTTTCTGTTGAATGATGAATTGGCGTGAATTGTCACCGTTTTTGGTGAATCAAAAGAAAAAAGTGTTCTCGTGTGTGTTTGTGCGTGAGTATGTACAACAACTAGATTCGATTCAATGGAGACATCACAAAAAATAAAATAAATATCCCCACCTCCAATATCATCTTCGTCCTCCGTCGTCGTTGTCGACATCAACCGATTATTCTATTGAATGAACTCGTTTCAAAACTTCGTGCAGCCAGCAGATACATAATAAACCCACTATCGCAAAAACCACCTTAACGGTCAAACTTATCACTCTCGCCCCTTAACTTATTTTTAATAATTATTAGATCACATAGTAACTAAAAACTGTATCTTCTTTTTTACCGATACAGCAAAATTTGTTGTTTCACTCTTACAGCAGCATATACTATACACTATATATATAACAAAACGTCATATATTATCCAACTTTTAATAATTCTACACACTTTTCCCGCACGGAGCAGCACAAAAAGTACCTCATAAATCAATTATTTCTTGTGCATCTTGGCAAAACTAAAAAGCGAGCGAACCATCGTATATATATTTATACGTAATATAAATACTTTGTCGTTAAACCGCCTGCACATGGGTAAAAGTAGTACAACTTCTACAACAGCAGCTTTCAACAATAGTTAAGTTAGTAACAGAAACAGCAAAGTAAGTAAGCAGTTCGGTTCTGTTCTATCTCTGTGACTTGTGAAGAACAAAAAAGAACGAATAGTTTTTTTCTTTTTTTAGTCTTAAAGTCTTCACGGACTAACCAGACAAACAACAACCGACTTGACAACTTTTATTTACTTCCTCATCACTCTTCGACCTTCACACACACAGAAAAATACCTTTTACTAGTATAAATAAATATTACTCAGCGAACAACATGCAAGTACCTCGAGCAATACACGATTTTCCTCATTCACCGCCATCTCAGTCAAACTCGAAACGTCGTATTGAACTTGAAAACGAATTTATTGAAGCGCATTTACACCAGCAGCAACAACAACAGCAGCAACAACAGCAACAACAACTTCACCACCACCTCCAAGGAGGACAAAACATGTTCAACGAGACTCAACCCCCGAATAAAAGACAACGGCCAGGAGTAGCGACAAATCTTTTGTATAAACTTACTGAACTTGCCGCTTATACATCGGCCGTCGCCACCGAAGCATATCAAACATTTACTGGCGTAGTTGGAGCAGACGGATTACCGGCACCACCGCCACAACAATTTAATCAACGTAAAATTAGCAATGCTCCAGCTTTTAATAATAGGTATAGTATGGCCTTTGATGGATACGGTGATGATGTTATGCAAATCAAAGCAGACGACGATGATTGCGAAATGGCCGATGAAGAGTTCGTTGAAACCACTGAAGTTAATAAATTGAAAAAGAATGAATGCGATTGGTCAAATGTCAATGCTGACGAAGATGAACCACCACCACCATACGATAGTTCTTGGTCAATGGTAAATTTCTTTTTCATACTTTGATCTTGTTCACTTTTTAACTTGAATTGATTACTGATGAACTCTATCAATACAGCCATCGTCATCTAATACCTCCCCTGCGGTAGTAGATACAGGATCAGCAGCAGTAAGATTTGCGGAGCAAGCATCAACCTCGCAACAAGCACAACAAGAGCAGCAAATATCTGCTGAACCCATTAACATTAGCAATAATAAATCAAAATCAATACAAACTACACCGAAACGTCGTCAGATCCGTGTTCGACGCGGAAATCGACCTCTTCGTCGAAAGTCCTCAGCCGCCAGTCTCACGAATGCATCGACAATACCACCATGTCAGTTTGATGAGGATGATGACATCGTATTAAAACTTAATGGAAAATTGTCTGATATGATTGCAGAAGGGAAAGCAGCATTAACAAGTACAGTTGATGTGACAGAAGTCGAGATGATTCTTGCTGAAGAAAGAGAACGTGAAGAACGTATTCTGCGTGATCTTGGTCAATCATCATCAACTCGACGTCATCGAAGAATGGTTTCGTCGTCGTCAAGTGATTATGAATATTTCAATTCACCAATAGAGTCAAACAGTTACCCAGGAATTAGTTCTTATAATGATTATAGTGGGTTAGGTAATTATTCAAGTGGTGCTGAATCACCTTCTGGATATTCTACACCTGGTGGCTATGGAAATGCCGGCGGATATACACCAACAAGGTACGGATCACCTAGTGGCGGATATTTTGGTGGTTCAACACTGGGTTCCGCATTCAATACCAGCACGCTTGGATCAACATTAGCCACATCTTCAATGGGCCTTGGTCTAGGATCATCAGCGGCATCAATTCCTTTTGGAACATCAGCATTCGGTTCATCATTGATTAGTTCATTAACATCGCCATCGTCATCATCAAATGCATATTCAGGTGTAGGAGGTGGAGGAGGATTAGGAGGCTTTTCAACAACAGCAAATTTCAGTTCTTACCCAAACTTTGCGTCTAATTCAAATACTACCTCATCGCCAAATCCCGCATCAACAACTAATCACAATACACGAAGATTCTATTAAGATGCTAGTATTGCTATTCTTTCCCCTCACGCAACGAAAATAGTAGATTTTTTTAGTTAATAGAATGTTTTATTATAATATTACCAATGGACTTTATTATTTATTACCACTACTACTACTACCACTACTACTGCCACCACCACCACTACTACTACTACTACTACTACTACTATTATTATTATTATTATTATTATCACTATTATTATCACTATTTGTACAAAGAGGATTTGATAGAGAAGGGGGATGAGAAAAGGGGACCGGATAGTAGTTGAATTATACATATATATTCGATCTATAGATGTTTTAATGATTGATGTGAAGACATAACATCTTGATTTGATTAATGGAATCACATCATATCACTTAGATTATTTTCCATATGTTTTATTCCTTTTTTTCCGCACTTACTAAAATTAAAATATTATTACACCAATATTTACCACTTAATTTACATCATTTTTTTCACTGTTGTTCTATACAAGGTTAATTGTTGGACAATGGGCCTCGAATTTCACTTTTTGACAAAATTCATCCTTATACACCCGCTCTTACATACTTACCTAAATACACAATGTGTATGTCACACATTCTTTGTCAAAAATATCGTTGAGTGTTTATCATTGGCGTTATCCATTACATAATTAGCATATATTCCATGCATACATATATACTGAGACATATGCATAACAATCACAATCATAGCACTCAAAAACCCACTTTCTTAAACTTTTTTTTCTCTTTGTTTTTGTAAATAACTTTTTAATATTAACTCAAAATTTCCCTTTTCCCAATATAGTACATTGTCTTTTAAATCTTTTTTTCTCTTTGTTTAATAAAATGTTTTTTTCCTGTATTTTGTATTTTGTTTAAAAATTTTTTTTGAAGTATATACCAAAATCTCCCACACGCATCAAACTATCGCGCGTCTCATTTAAAGCAATGAATAATAATCAATGGATACTTGAAACACACATAAGATTTATTATCCTCTCTTCGCGTTACCTCATTAACAAACATCACAAAACTATTGGATAATTAAATGTCTTTATTTTTTCTTTTGATCTTTTGATTTTTACATTATCTCTCTGTCTGTTGGATTGAATAAATCTTGAGATTGCAACAACATTATCCCTCGAGATTATTTCTCCAAAACGGACAAAAGAATAGTGAAGAATCAAAAGATGAGAAAAAGAAGTGGTATTTATTATTTAATATTTTTGAAAAACGTTTACGTACACAAAACGTCTAAGATTTTGATCCCATTTATTTGACACATTCTTCCACACACTTGCGCGCGATAGCATTTTTTTTTCATTTTCTCATTTACAGACCGACAATTGTACAAAGTCATTCTAATCATAATTTTGATCGCACATTACATTTTTTTCTCCCACATCACGACGTATCATTGTTTCGCATTTCTCATATTTCCCTTAGAGTGAACCCCAATCAGATTCATCCACTTCTACAAATCTGTAAATAACTTTCTGTCCCTATGAAAAACAAAAAAAATTAGTAAAACAAATACAAATCTTTCCAGGCTACTTATTATATCTTATCATGATCGTGATATATATTTTTCCAAATATGATTTTAGAGGTGGAGAACATGTATCGTGGATCTTTAGGGTTGGGAATTATTAGGCATTTTTTTGTTTTGAGAGTAAAAAAGATCATGATTACTATAACGATTAATTGACTAACTTAGTACACGAAAAACTTTCTTATACAATTAAATATAAAAAAAGATATATTTTTGCCGCCATTCTATATCACACTTCATCTTTTTTCTATAGATCCAGGAAAGGACATTTACACACAGACATTCATACACATACACACACACACAAAAATCACTTATCTTCATCCACCACGCGCACAGAATTTTATCGTTCGTATATGCACGCGACCTCGACGAAGACAACTTGATTCTGTGCGTACACGATCTCTTACCAAATTTAGTGACAATTATTATGAATCTTTATTCAGAATAGCTTATTAAAAAACCAATTTCTGTTTATATGTCATTATCAAATTTACATATGATTAAGTTAGACATTATGTATGATTAAGTTTACCGTGTAAATTAGATTTTATGGGTGTATGTGTCTTTTCCTATAAATGTAAATAAAAATTAAATGAAAATTACACAAATTAAATGTGATTAAGGGATTATTAAGGGATTATTTGATTACTTGTCGTTTATCGATACAATATCGTAAATGGGTATATAACCCATAGAACAATGACACATGTCAGACAGAGATCAATATCGTTTTCGGATAACACCGATATAACACCATTACCAAGCACAATGTTACAGTTGATATACCTTACACATGAACACAACATTTATGGTCCTACCTACTGACACTATTAGAAAAGAACGAAACTTCGATGGTGGTAGTTGAAAGGCGGACAGACATACAGACCGGCAAGGCGTACATCATCTTCACTCTCTTGATCTATGTTTTCCTGTTTTTTTCGTCGGCGAGCGGTAGGTGGTTGGTTTTTGATGTGGGGGTAAAAATTCATTATGGAGTTGGTTCAACATCAATTAAAATTAGTTTTCTGTCTTACCGTAAGATATGCAGAATAATCTCGTGCTATTGCTATATAAAAGATTAAGTGATATTCAGGGTGAGTTTCCTGATATACGATGACGGCGTAATGTTGATAATGAAGATTGCTGCGGATAAGTTGCTTCGTTTGTTTGTTGATCACAATTGGTGATATTGATGGACATAAACATCCAATTTCCATTATCGTGTCTCAACAACAACAGATAAAATCTCGTGAAATGACGCTCTTTGTTTCTTCTTCATGAATAGAATAATGGCGTTTAATACCATTGGAAACAATGAACAAATAGCATCTTATTTTTAGGATGAGAGAACGCGGATGCACGTTGAGTGAACTTGCATGCACACATCGAGTGAAAAAAAACCGAAATAGTTTCTTGAATTGGTCAAATATCGTATCAAATAATGGAAAATGATAGTGGATTCACATGCATGAGAAACTGGATTCTTGTGACTGAAAGATAACTTGCATGCATGTGTAAAGATACCGTTTCTACCGATTAGGTATTGTTTGATTATGACAAGCAAAACATCAAACATTTATAAAATTTGGTTCGTTTTTTTCATTCTAATATTTTTTATTCACATTATACAAAGTAAATTAAATACAAACACAAACTTATTAATAAAAAATTTGGTTATTCAGGAGATCAAGTTTATTAGAGAAATAATTATTTTGGAACTAATTTTGATTTATTCAGATTTTAATTAATGAAATTATCAAAGTTCAGTTCATTAAATTTGTGATTGTATAATTTTTTTATAAGAAAGTATTAAAAACAAATTAATATAATAAATATAATTTTTGTATTTTGGAATTATATAAAATTCAAAATTAAAACTAATTAATATTCTAAAAAAAAACTTATTAATAAATAATAATTATAATTACAAGTATTTTTTATTAATAATATTATATTTTTAATATTAATTAAGTTAATATACAATGACAATTAAAGATAATATAACAGTATCAAAATTTATTAATAAATATAATAAAATACAGATTTTTCTTTATATAAAAGTTTTCAATTTTATTAATAAATATTATTTTTATATTAAAATCAAGATAATATTATATATTTTAACATATATTTTTTTCAGATTTTTTAGATTTAATTTGATCAAGTTGTTCTAAATACAAATAAAGTGCAATTAGAACAACTTGATCAGATTAAATCAAAAAATCTGAAAAGATATATGTTAAAATATATAATATTGTCTTCATTTTAAAAAATATTTATTAAAAAATTGAAAACTTTTATAATAATAATAAAAAATAATGCAATAATATCAAAATTTATTAATAAAATATAATAAAATACAGATTTTTTCTTTATATAAATAAAAATAGTATGATTATATTATTTTTTATTTAAATTAAATTATATATAGTGACTAATAGAATTATAAAATTATATATGTGATTTTATTAGAAAATATAGTAAAAATTAAAAGTTTTGTTTTATATAAAAATTTTTAATTTTATTAATAAAAATTTTTTAATTTTATATTAAAACAAAAATTATAAGTTATAATTTAATATATATTTTCTTGATTATTTTCTAATAAAGTTATTCTAATTGCAAAATTATTGCAAAAATTTTTTATAATTAAAATATAAAATTAATTAATTAATAAAATTAAAAATTTTTATATAAAATAAAAATTTTAATTTTTACTATGTTTTATTAGTAAAATAGTACATATAATTTTATAATTTTATTAGTTATTATATTAGAAATTTGTGTTAAATTTTGTTGATTATTAAATATAATACTTTAAATAATATTCAATTACTAATTTAAATTATTAATAATAGTATTTTTTATTAAATTTATTAATATTTTACAATATAAAAAATATTAAAAAATAAATATTTATTTAAATTTTATATTAATATTAAAAATATTTATAACTTTATTTAATATTATAATATTAATATTTTAATTAATTACAATAATTTATTTAATATATATCAAGTTAAAATTATAATACAAGTAAATTTTATAATAATTTATTTAATATTGTTATTATTTTATTTTTATTATTTTTTTTAATATGTATTTATTATCAAAAGTGCAATAATATTCTTTCTATTATTTTCTATTTTCTTTTCTATATTTTTTTATCCAATAATAATAATTCATATTTTTATTTAATTAATTTTTATTTATATTATATTACTTTTATTTAAATTTTATTATTATTCATTTAATTAATTAATTTATAATAATTTCATATTAATTTATATTTTAAATCTTATTGATACTTTATTTTTATCTCTTATTACATTAATTTAATTAGCAATACATAGATTTTATACAAATTTCTTTTTAATATAATCAAATTCTTTTATAATCACCACTCTCAGAAAAACAAAATTTGATAATTATAGAGAAAATATAACTATAGAGAAAATATAACTATAGAGAAATTTTTTTTACTATATTTATATATAAATAAAAAAGCAAAATAGAGTAAGTATAGAGAAATGTGATTATATTATATAATAATTATTATATTTTAACATGTTATAGATTTATACTTTTATTGATTTTTCTTTATAATTTATATATTGTTACAATTATTTTCAATAATTTCGTAATTAACGAATCTTTTAAAAAATAATAGAAAATATGAAAATCTTCAAAAATAGTAATAAAAACAACAAATCGAT